TATATGGAGTGTGTCCCGTACGTCTACGGTTACTATATATATATATATATACAGGTATGTCTATATTGGCAGTATATTCGTAGTCAGCGGTTACTATATTATACAGGTAAAAGAACGATGTCGACCTCGAGCCGCGTGATATCTGTTCGGCTCTGCGCACTTCACACATATTCATTACGACAGCGATATACTATGTATTATCAAGGTAATGTAATAGCTTACAAGATTATGAAGACTGATCATGTCATAACTTTAACATACATAGTCATAGACTCGATATTGTCTACCATCAGTCCCCTCTGTGTCCCGATGTAGCATCTAGGGACCACATTATCATAAAGCCAATCCGAAACCCAAAACCTCAGAATCATCAAATATTGAGTTTGGAATTAGGGACGAATTATTCCTGATATTAGAGTCATCAGAAATATTAGCGGTAGAACCGGTAAGCTATACCGAAACTAAGCGTGAAAGAGAAACACCCAGTAAAAACATGAGTCTAAATGAATTGGATAAAACAAATAAAGACTCACTTCGGTTCTTTGATACTATAGACTTTCCCTAGCTGAGATAACTGTACTTGAGAAGTGGTCTATTGTACCCCTTAGTTGTATCTTTCAGCTACTCTATATACTCTACGTTTTTTACAATATCCTTACTCAGATAAGCCAAACAGAAACAGAGCCCACGTATAGACTTTTCTCCGTGGGGATGTAGTACGGCGATGCGAGAAGCTGATCATTAATGATTTTAAATTAACACACGTACGCTAGCCACCGAATGAGTAACCGAGCATCATTCCTGATCTGTCACGCGGCCGATGATGCCGGCCTCCTCCAAGGCTTCTACCTTCTCTTTAAGGATCGCCACCTTCGTGGGATCCTTGTCTATATAGTAGGTTGCTTTAGACGTGGCCTGTGGTTTCTCCTGTATCACTAGGGGGTGCACACCCACAAATTTGGGGTGTGGGGCATCATAAGCCACCGGATTAGGTTGGCCACGCCTGCGTAGATGTATTCACCGTAGCTGCCAACTGATAAATGCTTCCAAAGTCACCGACTTCCTTTCCTGGCAACGACTTGAAATCTTCTTTGGTCTGATGCTCAATATTTGCCTAAGCCATGTGGTCGATTAACTTGGGCAGATGTATCGGGTCCGTTGTCGATTGTACTTTCTTAATCACCCGTTGGAAAACGGCCTCTCGAGGCACATGTACTGCTCCTACTGCTATTGTCGACCGTGAAATCTGCCGCACTACTGCCGACATCTCTTCTCGTGCTTCCACTCGCCTTCCTTCTTTTCGTTCATTGGCTCTTCTCTTCTTCCGTACAGGGCATAAGTACTATTGATGCTCCATTGAATTGCACCCGCAGCATCCTCCATAGTTGGGTCCGAAGTTTCGCTTCTTCCAAGCCTGCTCTCGTTGGGTTGCTCTATCCTGTTGGGTATTAAACTAGTCTTTTCACCTTGGAAACCTCATCCTCATTCATATCCCGTAATAGGTCAGCCGCTCTTGCTATTCCTTCCATTTGATACACTGCTCGAAAAGTTTCTTTCAGATGTGGGGAAGTACTGTCCAACACGATCGTTTTTACTCGTGTTTCCATAGCTGCCGCGACTTGGACGATCGTCTCATCCCAGGATGTCTGCTAATCTTCTTCAGTAAGCATCAATGACATCCCTGCCTTGATGAACCTAGAAGGTCCACACCGTATCATTAAGCCATAAACAGCCCTTTCATGTGCTTCACACTAAAAACAGGGGTGTTGGTTGCCATACGAATTTTACCGTAGATACCCCCTTGAACAATTCCTTCGCCAATAAAGCCTCAAAGCTTGAGTTACTGATTTCTTCAAAATAAAGAGTCTCAGATGCTAGTTCGTACCTGACACTTCACAGAGGGACGTAGCAGCACTATCGGAAGTGTCCAGTAATGGCTGCAATATTTTTTACAAATAGCACAAAGCTGTCTTCGTCCACACAGGTAACCGGATATCTGCAGGCACAATGTTATACACCGATCGGCTGATGTCAGCCGATAAATGTTCATGTATGATGATATCTCTCGCCTTGCCACATTCATTCGGAGGTAGTAATCCTGCCGCTACAAGGTCCCTTCGACCAGTCACCGCTGATTGCGTTTTGTTCCTTACATATACGCTTTCATGCTTCTGAGTGCCGGAGAGCCTGCATCTTGCCTTCGAATACTAACTACTTTCAACATCCTTAAGTTCGTTAGGGTAAAGTTATCTTGTTTTGTGCACAGAAGAAAGTAAGCCGTAGTCAGGACAAAAATCTGGACGTAATCAATATTACGATCAGCAAAAACCTCTTTTAATATATTGTTTATATAAGTTATAAGCCGTGTTAGCACTGACCATAATCATCTCAGACCTGGGTAGAGTCATCTGGAATTATCAACTATCAGCAGCTAGCGAGTTTTTCCCCTTCTCCACGTGTGCTGACCTCACTTGATCTTCCTGCTTCACTGATGTCTATGATTATGTCTTATATCACAGCTTCTACCCTTACAAGGGCCTAAGTTAGTCTCGTCCAGAACCAGCAGTCCGTATTAGGCGCGGCTGCTGTATTTTTATGTGTACACCTTGTAAGATACATTTCAGTGAGCCTATCCCATGTTTAATAGTTCTGTCTTACATATACCTGCACCTATCAGAGAACTACACTTCTTATTTTTACACAAACATTGTTTCCTCCAGCCAATTTACTACAACCTCTTATCCTTCCTATGTCGGCAACTATAGTAGTAAACTGCGCTGGTTCATTATTTATTTATGAACCCTGGTTTTACTCTGGAGTACATTTTTAATCCTGAGCTCATATTTTGTCCTGCACATAACAATAGTCCGTTTTGCAGCCAAATCGACTCTTGTATCTTTCTTCGTCTTCAGAGTACGGTCTGAAGTTAAACCTATCCAATACCGTCGAGATTGTCGACAAAAACATGGCCCGTTCGGACACGAAAACGGGTGTTGTAAAAAATAAAATAAAAAAGATTTTGCGCCAAATCGACTCCTGTACAAATTTTGTTTCGAGTTCGGTCTGTAAATGAACCTCATATCGTCGAAAGTGTCGGCCCGTACTGACAGGAAAACGGGTGTTATTAAAAAAAAAGTTAGTCCGTTTTGCAGCCAAATCGACCATCCAATATTGTCGAGAGTATTGACGGAACCATTGCCGGTTCTGACGCGAAAATGGGCAAGATAATAAAAAAAAATTGGCCCGCTCTGCAGTTTTCAAATTTATTTCCAAAACCAAGGCCTCCAACCTCTGGTCAGTCGACGAGTCTCAAGAAGCCCTTCAATGGCACTGGCGCACTCACTAGAGCTGTTGCAGTTCACAACGGCCTCGTGAGATTCACGGGGTATCGTACAGTTTTATTTTGGCCTATGGGCCTCGAGAGGGTGGGAAGGACCACAGGACAAAGTTAAGTGTTCAAATTTATTTCCTAAATAAATATTTAAAATTTGACAAAAAAAACCCCCTAAAAACCCTGTTTCGCAAAAAATAAGGCGATTTCGCGTTTCGACATAAACGTTGAGGGTTTTTATGTCAAAAAGAAGGAAATCCCATCACACGGTGGTCTAACACCTACAGAACAAACAATCCACTCACAGCAAAACACACCACATCATATGTTACCGCATCTGTTCAAAATTAGTTATCTGACACAATATCATGAACGCGGGAATGTGAGTACACCACAGCGATTACCGATGTCTCACATACTCACAGAACCCCATGGTATGAACACGAACGAATCCTTGGCGAGTACGTCCGATACAAGACACATATATAGCAACCAAAGTACACGGAGAAAGATTCAACTGACGTCCTCTCAACGAGAAGTATACCTACCACAGAGCCTGCAAAGAAGGAAGCAAAGTCGACCCGCCTATAGTTTCGATATACTGCTGTGTGATGCGGTGCGCCCAAAGAGACTTCAACAGCTCAGCTCCACATGCGAAATCATGTGGGGATTGGTATAGAGATATGTATCCAATATTTGAAGTCTACTACATTCCACTCTATCAACCTGTTGGTACTGTAGCTGGCATAAACGCGAGTGTGTTCATGAGCTTAGACTCGCTATCCTTGACCGCTTTGACCCTGGTCGTCGCGGGCTCAGAGGTTTTACCTATATCAACGTCATCGTTACCGTTGGTAACATCAGCAACCATACCCCTCAGCCTTTTACGGTTGCTGATGACATCTAGAAACACCTTGGCAGCGGAGACGAGTGTGTCGCCTTCATTTTGGCCATCTTTACCTTTTTCTCCATCTCAAATCAATAAGTGCCGTGTAAGAGCGATGAGCACCTTGTCCTGTTCATCGATCTCATCTTGCCTGGATGTTAGACTCGATGCCAGTTCGCCAATTATCCGCCTTCCCTCTTTGATCTGCGCTTTGATAAAATCATACTCATTTTTCTCATCATTTTCGCCATTTCAATGATAAATACATCGACTTTGTTGCTTTTCTCAAAGCCGTTCAACTCTCAGATGCGGTAATTAATCCATTCTAGGGTGAGTGTCTTCTCCTCGACATGTAGCCATAAACAACTCGTGAGCTCATGGAATTCGATTGAGTAATTCGTGAGCAAACAACTAAAAAACACAAGTTTTTTTTTCAAGAGTGCAACCATGTATTTATTCACCGGAGTGACATTGTTTGCAATTCTCGCTCATATTCGGCTATCAAACCTGTGAATGGAGATGTCAATAGGCGCAGCTTGGGATGTGGAAGCCGTTCTTGTGCCATACGATCACGGCTTATGTGATCGGCGCAGATATTATCTACGCCACGTATGTGAGTGGCTGTGACGTGTAAGTCATGGCCGAGCTCGATTTCTTATAATAGCCTAAGAAGACTAAGCATCTCGGGTATCTTAGATGTGCGAGAGTGGATATCTGCTATCGCCCCGGTGTTATCAGAGTGAATGCATACTGTTCGGTCTCGATATCGGTTAGGGTGGAGATCTGCAATGGACACTACAGTCAGTAATCCGAGAGCTGCGATCGAGTAGCGTTCATGTTTGCGTGCTTCCTCTTAGGTATATATGTTCCGAAGCATCCATGAATTTCCCCATTTTTTGTGATGATCTCCCCAGGGGAGATAAAACCACTCCCCCGTTGAGATATAACCTCCTTCTATGGTAAAAGCGGCGTCGATGTAGAATTGTACATCTGTTAGGAGGGAACGTATCAGAATATTGATAAAATGCCAGTTGTTTAAGATCCAGTGCCATGATCGCAAATCGCGAATTTCGGCTGGTATCCGTTTGTCGTAGTGGTACTTCCAGTTGTTGTCCATAGGTAGGAGCCAGTATAGTCAGGCCATGTACACTCTCGCAGGTTGAAATATCGCAGATAACCACATCAATTTTTCAGATGTGCTGGCTATATCTTGTATGTGGCTTGAGGATATCACTCCAAGTGGATAGCAGCGCGCGGTATTTTTCTCGGTTTGCTTTAATGATCCCTACTGTACGTGTGTGGTGTCCCAAAGGATGCCGATTCCTTCCACAGTAGGAAGGTGGGCGATCAGTTTTGATTCGGCAATCTTAATGTCGAAGGCTCAAAAGACTCTCCGAACAGTGAGTACGTCTGATGGAGCTCTATGAGAAATGAAATATCAGATAATATCGGCCAATCGCCACGTGATGAGGCCGTGCATGTGTAGTCCCCAATCCAATGCTGTTGCTAGGTATTAGTACAGTTGAGGGGAGTTGCCGTTACCGAAATTTAAAGATAGTTCGAAATACACCTTGTTGTTGTGTTCAAGTCTCATCAATAGGACGTCATCTCGATGTATCGGCACCAGACGGAACGCGAACCTGCTGGACATCTAGCAAGCCGATTCATTACTTCGTTTGTCGCGCTGGGCGTTGATGCCGAGGACCGAATGGTGAGGGTACGACTGGCTGATCTCTCTACGATATTTGATCGATCAATCTACTTTGGTGGTTACAATGCTTTGCAAGGGGGAGTTGTGGCAGTGTGGTAAGCCCCTGATGCAATCCTCTTTGGAGAATCTTCCGATCGTGGACCCATTAGCTAGATCTGCTTTTGGTTGGTCTTCTATATTCGTCATATGATTTGTGGTTTTTTGTGGAATATGTGTTGTGTGCGTGCGCCATTGTAGCCGATGCGAGCCTCTTGTGTCATCATAGTAAGCACATATCTTGAGATTCGTATCCTATCAGAGCTTTATTGAGCAAAGATATGTCTGGAGTACAAGTGGGTATGGGGATATCTCTGATTGACGACCAAACGTTGACAATTCTCAGGTCATGGTCCACGTTAGTGGTGACAGTGGGAGATGCTGGTTGATGACGAGATGTGGCAGATTATGGCTCCTCCCTTCGGCCTGACTTCTGTGTAGTTGGTTCAGTGCAACCTTTTTTGTTGCACTCCTTATAGCTACAATTGGTACCGCCTGCGCACGTTTCGTTTCCGTTATAATCGTCGTGTTGTTTCTCTCTTGTTGACAGGTGTCATGTCCATTAGACTGCCCTTTCTTGTTTTTGACAACTGGGGTGACATTCTCACATACGGAGAAGGCTGTCGCACAGTTGCAGTGTTTGCATGAACTGAGAGCCTGATACATTGGACGAGGAGGAAGCGACCACAACGGCTAGTTTGGCTGCATCGATATCCGAGAGCCGAGAGTGAGGGAAATATCGCCCGACACCCTTGTCGAGATTAGCAACTTCTTCTGGATACATAATCTTGGAGTATTCGCATACAATGGCTTGATACTTTAGGTGGTCAGCGATACACTTGTATGTCATAAGCTCTGGGGTGTGTAGTAGTGATGCTGCTAGGTGAGCCGTCCAATTAGCAAACAAATCTAGGAATGATTTGAATGTTTTTTATTGCCTCCTTTGGATGACAGCGTACCGTTCTCGCCGTGAGTGAATACTTTCTGCAGATTAGAGGATTCTGCGTTCACACAGAGTATCTTCTTCATATCTTGTAGGGATATGAGTATACCTTGATTGTTTTTTTCCTTCAGGTTGTTCGGTAGGTTTGGACACACGGAGCTTAGCTTGCGGTCACTCTCAGCCCGACTTTTCGGGATGATGTCTCTGGCTGGGTTGTTGGCCATCTGATTTATTTGAGCTTCCATCAGATCTATCTTGTTCAATTGCTTCGCCATCATGTTCATGAAATGACTCCATTTGTCTTTCGAAAGGGTAGTTGAGTCCGTCATGGTTTTCTTGTGTGGTGGCGACGAGGGTGGTGGGAGGCGGTTTTTGTGAAGGTAGCGTTTTTCCTTGCGCTTCCGGATCCTTGGGGTTGGGTGACTTGAGATTGTCTCGCCGAAGTAGGTGTCTTCGCCTACAGCTTCGTTGTCTTCGAGGTTGGCGACTGCTTGTGTTCTCGTTTTACCTGACGTCCATTGATCAGATGCAGTTGTGATAGTAGGATTTTCTTGACCCATTGCTACCACTTGTTTTTGCTGAAAACTTAAAATTATCTTAAGGTTCTACACTCAAATGATCGACCCTGATGTGTATATATATTTGTATTGTTGATGTTTCCTTGTTTGTCTATTGTGTAAACTATCAACCTAAAAACTCGAATACGTTTTAAGTTTCTACTCCCTATTTTACCTATGTGATAATTGTGTTCATGTTTCCAACATGAGACTCTGAAAATTGATGAGAAAAAATCTCATGACCGAAATATGACATAGAATTCGCTTCACATGGTTCGCATTCGTTGTCCATGAGAAATCTTAGAGTTTTGGCGGGGTAGTGACTGGGAGGCTGGGACCAGGGGGCATTTCTATTCTGAAAATACAAAAATACAAAAATGTGTAGTATAAGGGTGGACAGAACGAGTTTATGCCCCGGTGCTGGGTGCAGCACCTGAACTACTTAGTTAGTCTTACGAGAAAGGTTCACGACTGGCAGTACAGTACTTCAGCCTTGAAATATCGTCTGTAAAAAAAATCTTAATATACCTTCAGTGGTTTAGAAGTTCTGTATTATCTGCCCTACCAGCTAATACAATTAAGTTTGACAAGCGTTAGATTCAAGTGAGAAAGAGATTTATTTAATCTCTGATTGAACTATCTGACGTATATATATATATATATAATCACTATTCCTTCAATATCAGATGCTATATTTGTCGTGGTCTTCTAAAATCGTACGATACATCGACACAGAACTATCTCATACTTGTGCGTGAAAAACGATGACTGCAAAAGTTGGTCATATGTGGGATCGTAGATTTCGCCCAGAGAACTTGAGGGGGGTTTTGTTTGGTATATAGCTAATCTTTATGCACCACTAAGTACTAATTTACGACTGGAGGTATAGTCGGATATTATTGCTTGTCGTAAACCCAGACACTGTTGAGTCCCATGGATTTCATTGGATCTTCGATTTCCGTGCGCGGTACCCATGTGGCCAGGGGGAAGCGGCATGCAATCACTTCAGCATTGGGCCTGCGGCGTATATCAAGCGCACGAGCGACCGGGAAAATAGGTATGTACACAGTTTTAAACTACCAATAATAATGTGTAACATAACAATAAATAGCTAAATACCAATATCAATAAAATAAATAAAAAAAAGTGGTGGAATACCATTAGCAGTGTATAATAGGAAGAAAAATCATAGCGAACTACCAATGACAATGCGAAACAAATAAAATAACTGGTTTCTGTGAAGTACTAGTTAAAACGGCATAGCATCAACGTAACAGTCTTGTACAGTGTTTGATATCATATACACGTCTGCGAGGGCCACTCACAACGGAAATGTGAGACGCGAGGCTGTTGCATAGCATTGACTCGATTCTATGTTGCAGATGAAGATGTGATAAGTAGAGAATTGACTAGTTTTAGGGAAAGCGTGGTTTATGCTACGTATGATTACATGCTTATAATTGGAACGTCGATTATATTGACACAAAATTGGAACTATAATTATAAATACACAAAATTGAGACTAACTATATACACACAAAATTGGGACTATAACTATATACACACAAATTGGGACTATAATCATATACACACAAAATTGGGACTATAATTATATACACACAAAATTGGGACCACAAGTGTATTCACACGTATGATAGGAGTCCGCTCAGAAACTCGATACTCATATGAAGGTCCAAGAATCCAATTCTATACGACCGGTCTCAGTATAAAGTATTACAGTTGCAACCTTATTAAGTACAAAGTAGGGCAGGCTCTCTGGGTGAAGAGACTTAACCGATAAGCGCTATGTACGTGGCCACACACCGAGTAGGACGCCAAAACTCGCAAGTATAATCAACTCACAAACGCATGGTTCACGCCTTCACCCACATATATCACACGCTGCATAAAACACACTAATCATGTGGATGTTCTGTAGCATTTCTATTGACAGTCGGTGTGTGCCATATTGCGGACAGGCAACTATCACAGCACATGCTAAGCATGGTCTGAAGCCATATAAAGGAAACCCTAAACTCTAACAACATTATACTACAGCCACTGACTGTCACCCTACACCCCATTTGTCAGTGTATCATTTCAATAAGCAGTGCACACCTCTATATGGCAATCATCCCCACACACAGCATATTGCAATACCTTCGGATTTCGTATATGGCAAGCTTTGAATACCCGCCCCTATAAAAAAACCCTAAACCCAATATATTACAGCCACTGTCTGTCACCCTACATCCCATTTGTCCGTCTATCACTTCAGTAACAACAACACACACATCTGTAACCTAATCATCTCATCATCCCCACATACGGCACATTGCAATACGTTCCGATGTCATAGGCGGCAGGCTTTGAATACTCGTCCCAATCAAAAGCCCTAAACCCTGAACCCAATACATCATGTCACCCTACACCCCATTAACTCTACATGACTAGCTGCAGATATCTCTGCGAATCGTTACAAAACACGGCGAGGACGCAACACACGCGTAGTACCCGCTCATACTGGATTAGCTATAGTTCGTACATACACTTATACACTTATACAACACCTGTATTTACATAACAGTACAACACCCATGTATATGAATAAATCACAACATAGCATATCTACATATACTCATGCCTGAGTGGACCACAAGCATACGACTGCCTTCTATACTATAGGCATCACACAGAAGCAACAAGATCATTCAGCAGAAAAAACACAAGACAAGACGAGACAAGACAAGACAAGAAAAATCTGTAATAGGTTCAATTAGGTACACTGAAGGTATAAAACTATACCGCAGACATACCTCATGTCTTTCGATAGCTTCTCTTCCAGCAACGGCATCATCTCTGGCAGTCAGGAGAAAAGGAGACACATCACAGTTGATCATTTGGCCAAAATAACATAAAAAAATGAATAACAAACAAATAAGTAAATGAATGAAAATAAATAATTGAAAAAGCAAACAAACAAAAAAATAAATGAAAATGAATAAAAAAACAGGTAAATAAACGAATACATAGAACAATTCCGACTACAGCACATTATTGGAACTGTGCATTTCTTTAAACACAAACACTCCATCCTACTCGAGAGTACACGAGCAGATGCATGTATAGTATATCATGGTCATATACCATGCATATCAAGCCAAGAAGGAGCTGAATCATACACCCTAAAACCCTAAACCCTGTGTGGGCAAACCAGATGGCCCTACACTAAATACACAGACACTACTCGACATGCACATCAAGACAAGAAGAAGCTGAAGCATACGCCTTAAAACCCTAAAGCCCTGTGTGGGCAAACCAGATGGCCCTACACAAAACACACAGACTCTTACTCGAGCGTACATGAGCAAGTGCATATACAGCATATCATGATCACATATCATGCACACTGAAGACCACGAGGAAATGCTTGAACAACAAAAGCATGAAGGTTATATAGTACATCATGTTCACATACCAACAATCAACACCACGATCAAATACTTCAACAACAAAAGCATAGGTTATATAGTACATCAAGCTCTAATGATGCTTATAAATTATATCATGATCACAATGTACATCTAAGACCACAAGCAAATATTTCAACAGTAAATCATGATGCTTATATAGTATACTATGATCACATACCATGCATACTTAAGACCACGAGCAAATACCTCAACGACAAAATCATGAAGGTTATATAGTACATCATGATCACATACCTTGCACACCAAAGACAAGGAGAGTGTCGTATTTGCTGATGTCTGCCTTCCACAGATCACCGCAGCTGAAGGTGGCCCTTCCCCTGACCCCTTCGCGGTAAGCACGCCATCTGTGAGATCGTGCGTGTGTCAGCCACATACCATGAGGGGCATTCTATTTTTAGAATCTACCTACTGTGCTATTTATAGACACTGGAGATGGATAGTGTACGTATCATGCTTCCGTAATCGCAGAAATTCCCCAAGCGCCTACAGTACAGTACAAGAAGGAACTCACACACACTCTCACGCACACATACATACATACATACATATATATAATATAAATATATATACACATACACATACACACACATATATATATATGCATACATACATACATACATATATATATATATACATACACACACACGCACACACACACGCACACACACATATATATATATATACATATACA